GTGTGTTCATCTTGGATGCCCATTTCTGGACTGGGTCTTTAAATTTTGGGGCCCTAGTGTTTTTTGGAGTGGGACTTTGTTGTCACTCTCCTTGACACTTTTTTGTGGTTAATCTTAGGCTCCCTGAATATAATATTGTGGAGAGGAAATGCTTGGTTTGTGTACAAGGAGAGCAGCTTATACAGTCCTCAAATCCTTCTGTTGCCCATGGTGAAGGAGGGGCTGTTCCTCCTTCTGGAATATTATCTAGGGAGAAAGACATTGAACTAGACTTGTATTTGTACCATGACTTCTTGCCAACATCTTGAGAAGCATTTTCTTTTGTCTTATTAAAGTAATGGCATGGGGCTGGGGAGATGGCTTGGTGGAATAAGCGCTTCCCTGGCAAGCGCAAAGGCCTGAGTTCAATCCCTGGTTCTGAAAAAAAAAAATTAAAAATTAAAAAAAAAATAATGGCTTTTTGGGCTAGGGTGATAGCTTGGTGGCATAAACTGGTCATGCCTGGCAAGTGCAAGGTCTGAGTTTGATCCCCAGTATTGAAGAAAAAAAAGTAATGTCTTTTTCAATTAAAAAAAGAAATAAATTATAGGAAGTTTTCTTAAAAAAAATCAATCTGAGGGGTCCTCCTGTTATGGGTTAGATCTGAAACCTCATTATCCCTCTGAAGCACCCCAAATCTTCCCAAAGCCTCAGGGGTTCAGAAGTTGATTGGATCATGGGTAACCTCGGTTGTGACCTGGAGGGCTGCATTCTTGTCCTTTGCTCCTCTTTACATCCTGGCCACCATATGCTGAGCACCTGCCCCTTAGCCATGGCCTTCCTTCCCTCCCTCCCTCCTTCCCTCAGTCAATAAACATGGATTATAACCATGAGCCAAAATAAATGTCTCTTGCTTTAAATTGTAGTTTCTAGTAATATACCCCAAGTGGATGGCCTATAAACATGGCATGAATAGACCCTAGAGAAAGAGGATTACGTGGTGGGAGGCAGAAGATAAGGGGTCCTTGGGGGTGGCCAGCTACAGAAGAGGCAATCTAGTACACTCAATCAGAGAGTTGCTGTTTTTAAGACAAGGCAGGAAAATACTTAAAGAACACAGAGATATCCTCTAAGAAAAAGAATTGAGCATGTACAGTGGTGCATGCCTGTAATCCCAGCACTCTGGGAGGTTGAGATGGGAGGATCTCAAGTTTGAGGCCTGGACAACTTAGTGATTTCCAGACTCAGAATGTAGCTCAGTATGAAGGTTCTGGGTTCAGTTCCCACTGCCAGACAGACAGACAGACAGACACACATACACAATCACTAGTTAATTCTGACAAATAATCTTATTCAATTTATTACAAAGAGTGGAATATATATATATATATATATATATATAATTTTTATATTTATTTATTTATTTGTCTTTTTGAGACAGGGTCTCACTATGCAGTTCAGGCTGGCCTCAAGTTCACTTTTTAGCCCAGGCTGGTCTCAAATTCATAATGATCCACCTGCCTCAGCCTCCTAAGAGCTGGGATTATAGGCATGCACCACCATGCCTGGATTACATCTTATTATCATAGTTGTAGCTCTTCATTTCTCAATGTGTTGTCTAGAAGTAGTATTAATTTTCACACTTCTAGGAAAGTAAACATAACAATTAATTATAATTTAATTAAATTCAATAAAAATTAATTCAATTCAAACAATATTGGATGCCTAGTACAAGTACGGTATTGAATTAGCTTATGAAAAATGGAAAAAAGTAACCAACATTTTTGAGTGCTTGTTATGTGTCAAGTACCATGATATGTGCTTTACATATGTTACTTCTTTCAGTCCTTGCAGTCCTACAAGGTAGGTATCATTGCAACCTCCACTGTTCATAAGTAGAAAGTGAAGTACAAAAAGAGGTTAATTAGCTTGACCCAAGTTTTGGAGCTAGTAAGTTTTATAGGTAATATTCTCAGCCCGGCTTCAAATAGAGGTCTGTCCTGAGTCCAGAGTTCATGGTCTTAATCTACGGAAGATGCAAAGGGCTTTACAATCAAACCTGCTGATGATGTGTAAGATAAATGCAGAATTATCAGTAGTAGGCATTTCCCTACAGTGGATACACAGAACCTTGGAATTCAAGAGTGAAAGAACACATACAAAAACTGAACATCCTGGGATTTTTCTGTAGCAATAATTTTTGAGTCAATAGTAAAGAATGTGTAAGAAATTGTGAACCAGGCTAATATGTGTTCCAAGTTAGGAAACAAAGAACTAGAGATAGAAATGAGTAGGTCATATCTAAGAACCATTTTGGCTCAAATGTAACTTTCCCACTTAATGTATCAGTACCATTTTGAGACATGGTAACAGCTACTGTTTATTTCTATCTTCTAATGTCTTGATGCTACTTCTCATCTTTGGGCTAACCCTATAGGATAGATATAATTAGCCTTGATTCACAGACAGTAAAGTGGAGGAGATGAATATGATGAAAATCTATTGTATATATGTATGAAAATGCTACAGTGGAACCCAATATTCTGTAAAATCAATATATACTAATAAAATGTTTTAGAAAGTATGCATGGGGCCAGCGAGATAGCTCAGTGGTCTAAAGTACCTGCTTAGGCAAGCTTAAGCAGGCATGGGGACCCATGGTTCCATTTCTGGCATCACATATGGCGCCAGCCCAGCCCTCAGGGCGGGCTGAACTGGCCAAAAAAAAAAAAAAAAAAAAAAAGCAACAATGATATTTAGAGACTTACTAACTGGGTAGAGCAAGGAATAGAGAAAAATATACAATACTTTTTTTTTTTTTTTTTCATTTTGTATGTGGTACTCGGTCACACTACACAGCTGGGACTCATAGTGATCCTCCTGTTTTCAGTATCCCCAGTGCCAGGACTACAGATGTGTGCCAACCATGGGGATCGAACCCTGGCCCCTGTGCTTGCCAGAGCAGCTGCTTAGTCCACTGAGCTATCTCCTAACCCAATACTTCATTTATTTATTTATTTATTTATTTATTTATTTATTTATTTATTTATATGTGTGTGTGTGGCCAGCTCAGCCCACCAGGGGGTGGGGCTGGCTGGCATGTGGTGCTGGGGGATTGAACCGCGGTCCCTGTGCTTTGCTTAGCTTGTTCTAGGTAGGTGCTTTAGACCACTGAGCCATCTCACCAGCCCCGTCCTGGCCCAATACTTCTGAACTTTTCAAAAGTTGGAAGGATGTTTTTACAATGGCTATTAACAACTACATGGGAAGAAAGAGGAGCTGGTTATATAGGACTGAGGAGAGGAAGAATGGTAAATTTCAATTGTACGCTGAAGGTCCCAACGACTTCTGTTTCTTTTTGGAGATTGGAGAGTTAGTCTGAAACTTGGGGTTGAGACTCAGTTATCCAGAGAAAAGTGAAAGTCAAAGCAATAGTAATCAACATAGTACAAAGTGCAGAAAAATTTGATCTTATTGTGTATTAAGAAGTAAGAAAGCATGGGGCTGGTGAGATGGCTCAGTGGTCTAAAGCACCTACTTGGAACAAGCTTGGCAAAGCAGAGGGACTACGGTTTGATCCCCCAGCACCACATGCCAGCCAGCCCCGCCCCCCAGGTGGGCTGAGCTGGTCACACACACACACACACACACACACACACACATAAATAAATAAATGTTTAAAAAAAAAAGTAAGAAAGCAGAATTGGTAGTGTTTGCCTGTAGTACCAGTTACTTGGCTGGCTGAGGTTGGAAAACCATGTGAGCCCTGGAGTTTAACAACAGCTTAGGAAACTCAGCGAAACCCCATTTCTAAATAAAACTAATCAACAAAACAAAATGGCAGGAGAAAAAGGGAGCCAATTTAGCATCTATTATGTGCCTAATATTGGAGAGATTTCTGGGAAGGATACACATATGTGTGCATTAAGCTTCAAATCTTGCTTCAGAGATAAGTTGCTCTCTTGAAACTATGAACAAGTACTACAAAGTTTGATATGCTCAATAGTTTAATCCATACAGTTTAAACAAGTGATACAGGATATCAATTGATGTGTCTGAGGTGATTTTGGAGGTGAGGAAAAGGACAGATCTGCCCAAGAAGATGGAAATTGTCCATAGGCTGATGATATCAGGGAATCCTGCTGTTGACATAATGACAAAACTTCTTGTTTTCTTTGTTGCCCAGAAGGTAGCATGAGAGGTGAACAAGAATAGGTAAACTTTGGACTAAAGAACACGAAATTTCTTATTTTTTTTTTTTTTCAGGGTCTCACTATGCAGCTTGGACTTGTAATGATCCTCCTGATTTCTGCCTCCCTAGTGCTGGGATTACAGGTGTGCGCTATCACGCCCAGACTCCATTGCAGGCTCAGTGTGCCCTGGGGCGGGGCCAGCGCAGCATGTGGTGCCAGGGAACCCCAGCCCCTGCGCTTACCTAAGTAAGCGCTAAGTCTCCTGAGCTATATTACTGGCCCTAAGAATGCTAAAGTTTAATGATAGTATGTTACTGGAAAAATAGCTTTTCAGAACCCATTTTTTCTTTCTTTTTTCTTTTTTTTGAAGTAAGCATACTGATGTTTATATAACTTCAGGAAAATAATATACATTGCAAGTTTGGGGAACATTTAAGTTACACTTCCCTTATGCTGCTGTTTGTTTTTCCTTCTACCACTTGCATGGTTGAAATATCTACATTTATTGTTCTTTTCTACAATGTGTTTTCTTGAGACACGGTACACATTTTACATGTGTGCAAGACATATTTTACATCCTATTCAGGTATAGTTACGGGCCCTAGGAAGAAGGTTCAGTTACTGCCTTCTGCTGTTAATGTATGATTTACTAAAAAACAATTATTGAGCATGTACAATGTCCTAGTGAACTGTGCTATGCCCAAGTAGGTATTAAAAGAGACTCCCCCCACCCCAAGTCTTATAGGTACTTAAAGATGAGAACAGTTTCTGGATAATAAACTATGAGAATCTAGAAAATGAAATGATGAGTGGAGAGCTTGTAAACAGCGAATACCTGGAGGAAGGATGCACTATTTACAGCAGAGCTGTCCTTTAAACTAAGTCATGACAGATGATAGAATTTACCATGTGAGGAGAGAGAAAAGAAGACAAAGACATGAGAAAATATGTTGACCTGGAGGGTTTCTCAAAGCACAGTTAAATCAATGCCAATATCCAAATGGGAGGAAAATTCATTTTACTTGCTTTAGCGTCTTAAACCATTAGATAGAATGCATGCTAAACAGAACTGTAATCCCTGCGAATAAAACAGCAACGATGACAGCAGCGGGAAACTGCAGCAGTGGCAGAGCTGCAACTATTCTCAAACTGACTGAAATGACGCTTTATTTGGACAACTAGTGAAACATCGTAAACTGTCGGAAAGCTGCCGTTCCCAGACTTCGAGTTCATCCTTGTCAAATCCGCAGCATGTTTTCCTGGCTTGGGTTGAAATGCGCAGTCAGGAGGCCCAATTAGAGTCAAAAGGAAAGGGGAGGTGGTCTCCTCTGCGGATGTACTTTGGCTCCTCCCGATACCCTCCAAGATGAACTTCGCCACACGAAACATGGCTCCCTCGTGTTTCCTCCCTCCGTTCTAGCTAACCCTTATTTTCTGGCCACACTCAACATGGCCCTAATCCAAGGTTGCATTCCTGTGGTATCATCTCGGAATACTTCTCGCGAGACTTTCTTCGCTCCGGACCACTCCCGCCCTGCCTCGCGCCGCCGCCGCCGCCACCGCCGCCGGCGCCGCTCCTCCTCCGTGTCAGTTGTTGGACTGTAATGGCGACTGGGCCGCCGCTGCCGAAGTGACTCCCGGGCGGGGGAGCGGGGCCAGACCTGCGCCAGAGAGAACTGCAGAGAGCCTCAGCTCAGGAGGTGGCTTGCTGCGGGGGAAGGGGAGGCGTCTTTCCGCCTCTCCTTCCTTCCCCGCAGACAGGCGGAATCCCGGGAGTCGGTACGAGGCGGGCACCCGGTGCGTCCCCGGCGCGGTGAGGCCAGGCCGGGCAGCCCTGGGGCCGGTCGGGGCGGCGTCACTGCACCCTCCGCCAGGCCCCGCGGGATGCACCGTGGGAGCCGAAGGCGGAGGCGACACTCTCAGGTGAGCTGCGGGAAGACTTGGCGGGGATCGCGGACGCCCGCTCCTCCTCAGCTGCCTCTGTCCGCGGTCCCAGATTCCTGGTGGTGGCTAGAGAGGCGGGGCGCGGCCCGCTGGCCCTGGCTGGCGTCTTTTTGGGGAACCTCCCTGGTCCTGAGGCTTTTCGGAAGGGTCATTCTGAGATCTGCGCTTTAGATCCCACCGGTGCTTGTCAAAGGTCGAATTTCTTTGCTTACCTGCCAGTTAGTGCCCCAACCCCCACCCCCGCCCCGGTCTTTAAAGAGGTAAGATACCTCTCACCTTTGGTTTTGAGAAGTATCTGTATTCTTTTGTCGATTAACGTATTTTGGGAAATTCCGGGAGACCGATCCCAGTGGTGGGGATGACCAGTTTCTGTTCCTTTTCAGTGAGGGCAACAGTTGTCTCAAGTGCAGTACAGGGAACTTTGATTACAATCCAGCATGACTGTAGCGTACCGGTTATTCACAGGTGATTTAGGAGAGATTTAACGTGCTTTACACTCTGAAAGTTGTCAGTATTTCCTCCCATAGTCCCTCTTTTAAATGTAGTACAGCATGCTATCTAATACTTAGGTAATGCCACAGATAAAGTTTGCAGTTTTCCTGAGTTTAAAATTTTCACGTAGGTATAGATTAGGAAATTACACCTTGGTATAGATATTTAGTGTGGTTTTAATGTAACAAATTGTTCATTTAGGAAGCAAATAGGTTGTCAAGCATAATGAGCGGTATCCATGTACTCTTGATTGTATTGATGGTGAATTTGTTTTGATTTTGAAGAAGTCGTTAACGTTGCCATGATAACCATTCCTCCTGTCTTGTATTGTAAGGATTGTAAAGGAAAAGTCTGTATTATAGATAGGTAGACGTAGAAAAATTGGAGAAGTTTGTAGAAATGATGGTAAAATACTGGAAGATGCCCTCCATTTAAAATATTTATCTTAAATAATGGTTTTTAAACTAGGCAATGTGCTGCTAATAATTTGGGGTTGTGACTTTTGTGGAATAGTCGTTAGAGCTGTGCTAGAAGTTGCTTCAGACCCATGAATGTGTATAGTTAGGTGTACTAAACTGACAGACTATTCGGTGTAATAAAATCTGAGCCATTGAAATATCAAGAAAAGATCGAACTAGAATACATTGTATACATGCAGAGTTTATTTTCCCCTTTCCTAGGTAGTAACAGAACTGTTTGTAGTGATAGTGAGTTATACATGTAAACAGTTTTTACATGTGAAGAATTTTCTCTAATTTTCTGAAATATATTGGTATGTAAGAAGGCCAATACTTTGACAGTCAACCTTCTCTGGGGTAGTTTATGACAGTTTTGAATTTGTTTCATCTTCTGATTGTCTTTTGGACATTTTGTAACACTTAACACACATTAGGGGTGGGAGAAAGGAAGAAGTCCCAACTAACCACATTTATTTGTTAAATTGCTGTAAGTTGTCGTGAGAGTAGAAAAGAAGCCATTGCTTGAAATAATTGGCTTTTTAAAATTTAGGCTTGGGGCCGGGGAGATGGCTGCGTGGAATAAGTGCTTCCCTGGCAAGCGCAAGGGCCTGAGTTCAATCCCCAGTTCCACCAAAAAAAAAAAAAAAAAAAAAAAAAAAAAAAAAAAAATTCTTTATCTTGTAAAGACTATGGCAGGGGCTGTCTAGCAAGCCCAAGGTCCTGAGTTTCCCAGCACCAAAAACAAAAAGCAAAAAGTATGGCAGTTGTCCTTATTTTGCAGTTTTGGAAACTAGGCACACAATAAAATTCATTTATTTCTGTAAATACGACTTACTGTTGTTGATCACCTAGAATTATGTGCTTTTATTTAAAAAAATTAACAGATATTTTTAGCATTTGACATTATTTAAAATATTTTTTCAAATTCTATTTTTGTTCATTTTTACATGTGAATTGCTCTTTGTTGATTGTCATTCCTTTAAAAGGATTACCATTTTCATAATATTTTGTGGATTGTTATAATGGATGACTTTACCTCTCTATATACTTTTTGCTTTAGTAAGATTCTTAAGAAACTTCTTTATATTCTTGGATGTAAAGTGTATATTCAGGCCACGTGATCAATAGTACCATATCTGGAAAATAGTAAAATCATGGTAATATTATTATAGAGACAATTGATGACTTGAAAGGGTAAACCAGTTATGATGGTTGTTTTTGCTGTGTGGGGCAAATTGTGAAATGGTTTTCTTTATTTTTTTTCCCCTATGTCAATTTTTAGTGTCACAAATAGTTTTTCTTTTTCTGAACTGATTTTTTGTTGTTTTCATTGTTATCCTAAGTGTCATTTTACATTTACATGTGGGTATTTTGAGTTAATAATATGGCCTTTTAATTCCAAGCTGGAAGAGATCTTCTGTTCACTGTTGTGCTTAGCATACAATAAGATAGTAAAGATGAGTTGAAGTAATTGACTAAAGAGTGGTCCCAGAATATTTTAAAAAACAAAACAAAAAACTGGTTCTTAGTTCTAGGTTCCCTTCAGTTTTCTTAGGTGTATACTCCAGAGATGTGGTCAAATTTGCTAGGTAGCAGGGGAATAACAATCTGGGATTGAAAGGCTACTAAGAATAAGCCATAGGTGGATCCTAAAATCATACTGTTGTAATGATTTGCCCAGGTTCCTTGACAGTAGTTATGTAATTTAGAGAAACTAGAAGCTTTAGACCCTAACCTGTTACACTAGTATTATAATTGTAGGGTTGTAATAATGTTAAGTCACTTCTTAATCATAGCATTGGGAGTTTTAGATCTTAAAGGCCAGCTAGTCCAATTCTCATGTTTTATATGTAAGAAAACAAGGTAATACAGTGGAAAGTATATCATTCATAATTGGTGCCATAACTGGGAGAAGAATCTACTATACATCTGCTAATGTGAGATTAGCATACATTATCTATCAACTCAGAGCATAATTGTGATCAATTTGGCATTCTATTGGATATTAGTATTAAAAACTAAAAATGGGCTGTTCTTTTCATGAATCAAAAATATTTCTTCATATAAAAAATGAATCTCTGCTCTCTACCCTGCTATTGGGAGTGTAAGTTGGTATAACTAGAACAGCTTTCTAGGAGGAAACACTGCCTTGTCAAAATTAAAAGTGTATGTACTCGTTGATAGAAAATTTCAGTTTTAGTTTATTTTACATACATTTTAACACAAAGCATGGGAATAGTTTAAGAATGTCTATATTAGCATTATTACAAATAAATGCCAACATTTATAAATAATGAAATCCTACATGTCCATTGGAAGAGGAGTAGTTAAAATTGTAGTATATTTATGCTGTGAGGTATTCTGCAGTTGTTAACAGGTTTTGGGGATATCTAAATTTACTTCATGAGAAGCAGCTGAGCATGTCCTTCAGCACATGGATCATACAGTAGATTCTTTGGGTTCAGATCTTAACTGCATCACTTGTACTTGCATTGACCACTAACAAGTTATTTAAACTCTTCTATAAACAGGATATAATAATGATTTTTATTTTACAGGTCTGTTGTGAGAACCAAATTTGTTAGTATTTATGTTCTAAGTAAGTACAGTATGTATCATATAAGTATTTGCCATTATTACTGTGTACTGACCTGGAAGAATACTCATAATACAGTAGTGCAAGAAATAAGCTGCATTATACTATGCAATATGATTATTAAAAAAAGATATTTAGACAACAACATAATTTTGTTTTGAATTTATATGTATATAGAAAAAGTTTATAAGGATAGGTATTAAAACTGTTACCCATTTTGTCCCTGGGGGAGTACACTTTTCCCTTTAAATTATTTTTCTTGTTTTATTGTTCACCTTCACTTTTATAACTTCTGAAAATAAAATCAACTACTAAAGCAGAACTTTTTTATTTTTTTGTCTTTTTGAGACAGGGTCTCACTATGCAGTTCAGGCTGGCCTTAAGTTCACTTAGTACTCCAGACTGGTCTCAAACTCACAATGATCCTTGTGCCTCAGCCTCTCAAGTGCTGTCGTTACAGATGTGCACCACCCCACTTGACCTTCCAGTATACTTTTAAATCATCACAAGTCCTTCCCAATTCTACTTCTAGCTAGTTTTTGCTAGCCAATTTTGCTTTCTTTTGTAGTGGTAGTAATTGAACCCAGAGTCTATGTCTGTTTCTCTTTCTGTCTGTCTCTTTTTCTCTTGGTCATGCTGGCCTCTAACATGGGCTTCTTCTACCTCAGCCTCTCAGATACCTATGATAGGTATGTATCACCAAATCTAGTCTCGTATCTAACTTTTAAGCCTCTTAAATAACTCTTCTAAATAACTCAGACACATCATTCTACTGCATGTGAGATTCAGAGCAGCCATACAATACCATCCTTCAGGTAGCTATGGGCATGCTTTAGGAGTACCATCATTGGGATAAAAGATTAAACACAACTATATCTAAACTACCTCTAAGATATTTTGAATCAACAGGTCTGAGAAGAGGCCTACAAACCTATTTTTTAAAAAATCTTTTTGAGGCAAGGTCTCACTATGCAGTTCAGGCTGGCCTTGAACTCACTTTGTAGCCCAGGCTGGCCTAGAACGCTCCCTGATCCTTCCATGATAGATGTAAATCCATCTCTCTCTCCAGCCTCTGAAAGCCTCTAACTAGTACCTCCTGAGTGCTGTGTTTACGGGCATGCCAAACCTGTATGTATGTATGTATGTATGTATGTTTATTTATTTTTGTGGTACTAGGGATTGACACTCAGGACCTTGCGCTTGCCAGGCAGGCACTTATCCTGCTGAACTATATCCTCAGCCCCAAACCTGTATTTTTAGATGTCTACAAGGATCCAAACACAGAGCTAGCTTTGGGAACCAAATTTTAGAGATTATCATCAGTTGTACTCTATGAAGTCTAAACTTCTAAGAACCCTGATGATTCCATAAAAATGAACATCAGTGGAGAAACCAATCCTGAGAACATTTGTCTTCCAGAGCTCTGGAACACC